GTTCTCCTTTCCTGTTATTTTTTTCATATTTTTCCACACAGTGGAATCTATCCCTACAAATGTTAGCCTGCTGCTTTGTCCCCACTGGGAGAAGTTTTACCCTTCCCTTCCCCCACCCCCAACCTTCTAGTTTAAAGTCCTGTTGACCAGCCCATTTACTCTTTTTGCTAGAACATAGGTCCCAACTTGGTTCAGGTGGAGACCATTCCAGTCGTACAGATCCCTCCTGTTCCAATGCTGATGCCAGCGCCCCATGAAAAGGAACCCCTCTTTTCCGCACCACTCGTTTAGCCATGTGTTTACTTCCCTTATTTTTGTGTCCCTATGCCAATGTGCACATGGCTCGGGCAATAATCGGACATTATAACCCTTGAGGAACTGCTCTTTAATTTCATTCCTAGCTCCTGATAATCCCTGAACATGTCCTCTTTCCTAGTCATGCCTATGTTGTTTGTTCCGACCTGGACCACAATAACTGGATCCTCTCCCTCCCTCTCAAGCTTTTCAAGCTTTCATGTTACAAAGGAATACAACAAAGGTCAAAACTAAAGCCTCTAGATCTAAATGCACATAGCATTCATAACAAAGCAAACAAATTGACAGCCAAAATTGAATTAATTAATTATAATCCGATAGCAATTGCAGAGATGGGGCTGCAAGTGTCTACAATCGGGTCCTGAACTTTGAGGGATATCTTACATTCAAGAAGAATAGGAAGCATGGTGAAGGGGTAGCACTTAATCAAAGATGGCATTTGTCCAGTAGTTAGAATTGAATTTGGTTCAGGAGATCAGGATGTAGAATCATTTTTTATGGAGGAAAGAAGTTACTTTTGGGAGTTGTCAATAGTGTCCCGAACAGTAACTGCAATGTAGAACAAAATATACAAGAAATATTGGGTTCTTACCAGTTGTGGTTGGCTTTAATTTGCATATAAACATTAAAATATCAGATTGTCAGTTGTAGCCTGCTTAGGCACTCATAGAATGCTTTCAAGATACTTTCTCACAGGAGCATGTTCTGGAACTGACTGGACGGTAGGTTATATTAGACTTAGTATTGTGTAATGTGGCAGGATTAATTAATGGCCTCAGATTAAAGTAGCAACTATACAATTGAATTTTACATGCAGCTTGAAAGGAAGAATTTTAGTATTTTAAACTTCAGAAAGGGCAACTATATGGGCAAGGAAGTTGGTACACTAGATTATGGGATAGATGAATAGAGATGCGGTGGCAGACATTTACGGTGGTATTTCAGAATAAGTAAATTCTTATTTTAAAGAAAAATTCTGAAGGGCAGTCTTACTATCTCTGATTAACTAAATAAATTAGAAGGCATTCAATTTAAGTAAAAGTGTATAATTGCGCAAAAATGTGTGACAAGTCAGATAATTGGTCAGAACACAAAGAATGGCAGAGAATGACCAAAAGTTAGTCAGGAGGAAGGAATTGGAGTATAAGAAGAAAGTAAATAGGAATGTAAAAACAGACAGTAAGAGATTCTACATATGCATGTATTTACAAAAGAAACGAGTAAGTAAAATGAGTAGTCCATTAGAAATTGGAAATGGAGACATTAATAGTGGATAAGAAAATGGCAAATGACGTGAACAAATATTTAACTTCTGACTTCATTATAAAGATTACAAAAAGGAAATTCCACTACTATCTGTGAATTGGAAGGTGTGAGGAAGAGAAGAACTCAGTGAAATTTCATTTAACCAAAGAAGCAGTACCAAGCAAACTGATGGAACAGCATGCTAACACTTGTCCAGATTAAGAAAGACTTTATTCTAGCACCTAAAAAGAGTTGGCTCGTGAGCTAATGGGTGTTAATTTTCTAAAATTCCCTAACTCCTCAAAAGGTTCATCAGACTTGAATGTAGCAAATATAACACTCCATCTATTCAAGAAAGGAGGGAGGCAGGAAACAGAACTATAGGCCAGTTAGCATGATATCGGTCATTGGGGAGGTATTAGAAATGATCATTCAAGAGTTATAGCGGGACACTTAAAAAAAAAAGTCTCAACATCCACATGAAAGGGAAATCTTTTTTTTTAATGAATTTATTAGAGTTCATTGAAGGAGCAGCTTGTACTGTGGATAAAGAGATGCCTGTTGATGTATTGTACTTGGATTTCCAGAAGGCATTTTATAAGGTACCAAATCAAAGTTTCATAGAATCATACAGAATTGGCCCTTTGGCCCATTGAGTCTGAGCCTAAAATGTACTACTGCCTACACTAGTTCCATTTTCCAGCATGAGTTCCATAGTCAGAAGTAACATGGACATTGCCAGAACTGAACAAATTAATTGTGGTATTTATAAAACACCATTCATCAGTGAAATTGTACAAAAGAATGCATATATGATACCAATGTATTATTTAATTAGAACTCCATAAAATCAACACATTTCTAAATGTTGAATGACCAATGCATATCAACTGAACCATTTTATCTTTCTATCTTTGATAACAAGAAAATCGAAAACGCTGATAATACTTTAGCAATATGTGTGGAGAGAGAAGCAGAACTAACCTTTCAGATCAATCACCTTTTGTCACAACAAGACTTCTTTAACTTTGGCTGTTATGTCTTCCATCTGTTTCAGGAATATTGCACACTTAAACATTTTTTTAATAAAAATATTTTCTAAATAGACTTTGAAATGAATGCTAAATCCAAAAGAAGAATGGGTAAGATAGGAAATCTTTAATGATGTTATAAAAGGGTTACAGTATGTTAAAATGCACTAAGATTTTTTTTTAAATGTTCAGGGTGTACAATAAGTATTAGCCCTTAATTTGTAGGATTGGATGTAAATGGAGTTTGGAGGATTGGAGATCTGCAACCATGCTGAATGACAAGTCTGACAGTTCATCTCTTTAATCAATTGAAATGAACAGAGTAGGTAAGTTAGTGTCAAATCAGGTTCAGAAAGGGAAGCAGAGGAAAAGAACAATTAAATTGGGAGAAAGTTTAAAAACAAAATGCAGTAAAGGAATGCAGGAAAAATATTTTAAAGTTTATGAAGCAGAAACCTTATTTAAAAAGATAATTGCTTTAAATACTTCCTCTAATTTTAACTGAGCTTAAATGTAATTAAGGAACATCTTCATGAAGCTTGCTGGGAGATTGTTTTCTCAATGATAACAAATGCAAAGCAGTGCAAGTGTTCCATGAACATTGTAGCATTTTACAATTTAATGGCAACCTTTTCCATTATTGAAGGGCAATTCATACATTTAATCAGTGCGATTTAAACCCACTGCTATGTTGACAGCAAATTCTTAGCTGTTATTGATCATTTCAGGTGAGACAGGTTTTTTAAAACTTATTTTTACTGTACTAGCAAAAGTGTTGCTTGCAGCATGCTTATATAAGTTATGTATTTTATATTGACAGTGATTCCATACCATGTGTTGGTCATTCCAAGTAAAAAGTTAGGTGGCTCCATGTTTACAGCCAATCCCTGGATCTGTATATCAGGAGAACTGGGAGAGACAGGAATCTTACAAATACCCAAAAGTATCCTTGAAATGACATTTGAGGTCTGTAAAGACATGTTGTTTTGATTTTTTTTTCTCTATAAAATCTCTGTTCATTATTCATTGTAGTTTGGTGTAGTACAGTTACATTTTCATTGATGTGAAACATATAAGATGTTCAGAAAATGCCTTATCTATTGGTCCCATTTTAAGTTTTTTTTTGCTATGCCACATTATTTCTCGGGTGTAAAGAGAGTATGAGGATGAAATTTATTGCTGTCTGTCTTTGCAACTAATTCCAAACAGACATGTAAGAATTTCATCAATTTTTATGCAGGAATTAGGACTTGTTTCTTGGGCTTTCAGTGTGTTCTGCTTAATTTTGATTTTTAGATTGTACATAATATAAATTTAAAGTGTATTAAAACTTTGGCTTGACTTCAAGAAAGCAAAGACGCAACAAGTCAGTTTTATGTATAACTACTAAGTACTTTATTCCACACCTTCTGTATAGTTAAGGTTTTATGTTCATTCTTGCAATTTGAGCTTACTGGCAATATTGGCATTTATTGTGTATCACCAATATTTCTCTGAAAGGTTGTGATGAGCATTCTTCTTGAGCCAGTGCAGTTAATGTGAAAAAGATAGTCCCATGAGGCCATTTGTTAGGCGACTGTAGGATTTTGATACAGCAACAGTGAACATATCAGTATGTTGTATGGGAAATTTTTAGAGGTGATGTTATTCCCATGTGCCAGTTGCCTTTATCCTGCTAGATAGTGAAGGTCATGAGTTTGGGATGTGCTGCCAAAAAAATCTTGGCAACTTTCATCAGGGGCAGACATAGATCATATCCGCCACTTCCACCACCATATTCTGGTCTTGGATGTTTATGGTGGTGAATGGACTGCTGATCAAAGAGATTAGGTTTGTCTTGATTTTTACCAAGTTTCTTGTGATGTTGTTACTGGCTTGTCCTGCCAAATGATAAGTATTTCATTACTCCCAACTTGTGCCTTGTAGACACTGGAGTGGCTTTGATAAGTGAAGTGCTGAGTCACCTAATGGTGTGTATTAAGTACCTACAACAGTTCCTGGTCCATTTGGAATTTTTTAAATCTCATCTGCATCCTTCTGGATTTTGGTGAGAAACTAAGTAATGGTATTCTCACTGAATGTCATTAGCTTTATCTTCTCTTGTTGAAGAAAGTCAGTGCTTGACATGTGTGGTACTAATGCTATTTGACATTAACCGCCCAACTTTGGATATTGTGTAAATCTTGCTTTGCTTAGACTTGAAAATGTTCAAAAATGTCTTTACTGTTTCTTGCATTTGTTTGACTTGTTGCTGCCCATTACTGCTTCCCAAATGATAGACAAATGACTCTTTTCCAAGCCCCCCCACTCTCTTTGCAATTAATCTCAAGTTGATTGATGAAAATGCCATTGACTAGTTTGCAGCAACACTGGGCCTGATTTAGTATTGTTAATTTGGACCCAGCACAGCAGTCAGAGAGCTGGCAAAAGACCTGCATCACTTCAGTGGTAAAGGCCCAGACAAATTAAGAGTCCATCAGGCAGTTAATTGTCCAATATTGGGCCTTCCCAGAGATTTAGGATTCCAATCATTGAAACCAGGAATGGGGGCTGCTGCTGCTATGAATGTACCCACAAGAAGTCTAGTACTGATGAGACACTGAAGCCATGGATGAAAGGAGAGGGGGGGTCACTGAGAGGTGAAGGGTGGGTTTGGGTTGGGTTTGGAGTTGGAGTTGGGGGAGGGGTTACTGAGAGGTGAAGGAGTGTCAGGTCAAGGCAGGGGAATGGCTGTTAGTATGCCTCCTCTTCTCTGATGGCAGCTTCCTCAGTCACCCAAAAATGGCCATGGGAATGTGCTAGAAAACTTAATGTTTTCTGGGCAACCTTCAGGAGCTACATAGAACTAGTGTGACTTAGGCAGAATGCCTTAGCCACCATTACATTCTGAAAGAAACAGGGATAATGATCTTTAAGTAACTCTTAATGAGCTTCAGACCACTCCTGTCACTGACTCATGGGGTTAGTTTTTCTGTGGGCTGGAATAGAATGGATGGCTCCCGAGTGATGACATGAGTCACCTGTGACCTATCTAGTCTGGTAGCTCCATTATATGGAGCTCATGGATTTGGACTTCAAGTTGTTTATCAGTTTTGTTTTAAATCTGTGATGCCTAATTTAACACTTACAGTTAAATCAACTTTCAACTATTGGGACAAATCTTTAGATACAAGTAAATTCCTATTTCTATGTTATTGCCAATGAGTTGTTTTCTTTTTCAAAATAACAATAAATGTTCTTTTTTTTTCATTTCTCTAGTGTCAGAACTTGGGAAAGCTCACAACAGTGTTGATTGGACACGATAACTCAGGGTTGTATGCCAAATGGCTAGTGGACTGTATTGTTGTTAGGAATGAGATAACTGGGCATGCATACAAGTAAGTAATTCTGAATGTTAAATAGTGGAGAGATTTCTGAAACCTTTCATTTAGGCAAAAATTGTAGCAGAGAGTAAGAAAACAAGACTTTGTCTATATACGTCTATTCCTTTCACACACCCAAATGCAAAACATTCTGTTGTGAACTATATATAAGATATTGCCTCTTGTGAACGTGCAAGCAAGGAGTAGAGGGAGGGCAACTGCTAAAACTTCCTTTCTAGCTACTCAGAGCAGATTGAGCAAAATCCTAGAATATCAAGGCAATCTGATAACAAAACTGTATTTCCTGGTGCAGTAAGTTGAGTTGCTCTTAGCCCCAAAAGCTCAAGTATTATTATATTCTTCCAAGTAATTGCTCTTTACCTCTGTGATAAGTTTAAGAGACTTGAGATGTCTCACGTGCTTGTGAACATTTTGGATTAAACTGAAGTTTTCATATTTTTGAACTGTTACACCTTATAGTTGTTGGTGCTTACTCATCCAATGGACTCCACTTTTGGTATAATTTATGCAAACCTTTGAACACTGACAGTGATTCTGGTTAAAATTGTTTGCTGCTGCTCAACAATAATGACAACTCAATCAGTTATAACATTGACACATTATCATCAATCTCATGGAAGCAAAGAAGAAGTGGATGTTAAGACATCTTATTTAAACCATCTTGACTGGAAAAAGTAAATTATTCATGACACTTTTCCCACAAGGTTATGCTGGAGATTTAAAAATGGAAAGAATTTAAACATGATCTAGAACCATCTGGTGGTAATGAGAGAAAATTTCATGAACCTGATCGCCACTGATCAGAAAGGATATGTTAGAACTTGTATTTCCCTTTAAAATTTGTGTACAGTATTTCAGGTTTATAGTTTTTGTGCTGAATTCCTCTGTGGTGAATAACTGATCTATAAGTCATGATATTATTATTGATGCCTGAATAATTGGATGTACAAAAGGTAAAATGGAAATAAAGTGAACTAGAAATATGCAGGACAAGTCTGCAAATCCATTCCTCTATCACTCTCTTGTTTCAACAGTTCTCATCAGTGACATCCTTTAGTTATGACTCTTTTTTCCATGCATTCTTGCCTCTGAATCAGTTGGTTATGGGTTTCAAATCCTACTTCAGACACTTGAGTTCAAAATTTAGGCTGTCTGTCCAGTGTAGTACTGAGAAAGTAATTACTGTCTTTCAGATAAGATTTTAAATCAAAGCCCCATCTACCCTCTCAAATAGACTCAAAAGATCACATAGCCTGACTAATACTTATGCCTCAATCAACATTACTAAAAACAGATTAACTAAGCTAGCTGGCTGCCACATTTCTTACATTATATCAATGATTTAATAAAGATACCTTGTCATCTTCGAAGCACTTTCTAATATCCTATGTTTATGAAAACTGCTGTATAAACCAAAATCTTTATTTTCCTTTTTTATTCAACCATTGGTCCAAGAAATTTATACTAGAAACTGTATGTAATGGCAGCATGACTTCTGATGCTTCCAATATAGAAATTTATGAAGAACAAAAACAACTGATTAATGGCTACTTATATGTAAATTCATACAACAAAATCAAGGATTACTGTGCTCAATGTCAAATAAGTGTTTGAAGAATTGAGCATGAATGGCCTTTGTAGATTGTTCACTCTATAGGTGTGTGAATGATTAAGAAAGAGGAGAGAGCATTTATTGATATAATATTCTACAATATTATTTTGTTTTGGAATAACACAACTTTATTTTTTAAATAAAAACCAAAAGAACTGTGGATGTTGTAAATCAGGGACAAAAACAAAGTTGCTGGAAAAGCTCAGCAGGTCTGGCAGTGTCTGTGAAGGAAAAAACAGAGTTAACGTTTCGGGTCCGGTGACCCTTCCTCAAACTGATAGTGGCTGGGAAAACGTCAGTTTATATGCAGGAAAAAGAGGAGAAGAAGGATGGGGTAGGGAGTAAATGATAGGATAGAGCCTAAAGAGAGAGAAGAGCAGTTGGACAGACAAATAGTTGATAACAATCAGGCTGGGAGGGTGAACAGTTGTAACTGGGGACTATTAGTGACTAATAACAGGTAGTGTGTAATGGCAGGCTATGTGGTAACTTTAAGTAGCGTTTCATATCAACAGTTGGACTTGGATTTACCTGATAACTTGCTTGGTAAAACCATTACAAAGCAGTGTTCCTGCTCTTGAAAGCTATTGGTTGGAAAACATGTTTAGACACCAGGTTGATAAGGCCTTATCTTAATAACTCCCCTACAGCAAATAGTGTATATTGTTTGTAGTCAATGTCAGTTAGCTGGAGTATCTGTGAGCTACTACCATTTTTGGAATAAAATGTCTTAGAGGTTGTAATATTCATCTTTCACTTTTAACTTTCATTGTAAGACTCATGTCAATTCCAAATATGAGAAAGCCAATCTAAAGTTTACTAGTCCTGATTAGTTACAAGACCCATTCCAGATATCTTCACAAGTCTCACAACATTTATGAAGTTTATCATAATAAGTACAAAACAGTGATATTTAATAAAAGAAATTGATTCATTTGATTCAGTATGGAATACTGACTCAACTTCTGCTTGGACTGGGTGTTTGTCTTTTGCTGTGTTCTGTTGATTTTGAAGTTCTTTCTTCTTCTTTCACGTGCTGGTTCCTCAAGACATCTTAACTTCAAACTTTTCAAGGTGCCAATGCCTTATCATACTCATAGGATTAAATCTAAGTTACACTATTGTCCACCCTCTTGACCTGACATAATTGATGTAGATTTACCTTAAACAAGTTAGCAAGCTTATTGACTTAGTCTGACACACTTTTTGTTTTGCTTTGTAGTCTACTGTCCAGCTTTCCTATCCATATTATGTATCTTGATGAGATTTTCCAGACAAGATTTAGCAATGATAGGTTGTTTGATGAATTCACGATCAGATATCACTTGTACCTCATTTGTACAGACCTGTCAGCTAACATTCAACTGAACTTATCCATCAACATTATATACAGAAAGCAACATTAATAGATCTACTTCAATTTGTGACAACTCAAATCCAACAAGATTATAATTATAAAAAAACCTAATCTTAAAGTGTATATTAATTCGTGGCAGTATAATGGGGCCAGTCGTGTTTGTTTGTTTGCCAGGTTCCCATGTGGTAGGTGGCTCGGAAAAGGGGTGGATGATGGGAGCCTGGAAAGGATTCTAGTTGGAGAACTTGCAACAGCCAGTCAAGAAACCGATGAGCGTCACAGTCGGACCCCTCCATTGCAGCAATCTCCAAGTATGATCAGGAGATTTGTCAATATAACACCTACCAGCAGGCAAAGTAAGTAAAGATGTGATTTTTTTTGTGGGAAGAATTGCAAATTTATCCACAAATGAGGGAAGAATATTTTAAATCCTCAACTGGGTTTATGCTTTAACAACAGGAAGCTATTTATTAGGACTATTGGCAGTTTGGAGATTTAAAATAATTGTCTTCCATCATAGGATAAAACTTGCATATTGCTATGGAAACTGATGGTCTTAAACGACTTCAGTATTCTAGATTGCAGCATATCTAATCCTAGCTTGGGCAGGGATCACTGATTTAAGACAACTATTTCACTGTTGCTGGTCAATCTCACATGTAGCAATGGCAGCTCCGTAACATAATTACAGAATTCAAGGAATATCTTGTGTAAAAACAAAATACTGTGGGTTCTGTAAATCTAAAAGAAAAATACTAGAAAATGGAAGAATTCAGCAGGTCAGCCACACCTGTGGATGTAAACTGAGCTAACATGTCAATGGATGACCTTTTATCAAAACTGAAGAGAAATTAAAATGTAAGAGTTTTGATGCTAGTAAAGGTAATACAAGAACAAAGCTTGTGATAGGGTACACACTGTGGGAGTTCATCCATTTGACCTTTTTTTAATAGGGAAACAAATCTGATTTTTTTTTTGAGCAACAAATGACCATTGATAAATGATCCTTTTTGTGAGTTTGCAAGATTACACAACTGCTGTCTTTCCAATTATTAAATATCTCTTGTTAGCAACTGATCAACTTTATGCACTGCACTGTGTAAAGACATAATATTTGAAAACTTAGAGGGATAAACAGAACATAATTTGATGGAATTGTTTTATCATTGCAGAGTTAAATACTGGCCAGATACAAGAATCTGTCGGGGAAGCTATTAATGGGATCGTCAAACATTTTCACAAGCCTGAGAAGGAGGCAAGAAACTGGTGTTTAAATAATTAATTAAAAATTGTTACTTTATAGAAACTTGATACTGTTCAAATGATTAAGAATTTATTTTATTGAAGTTTTCTTTCAAAAGCATATTCTTTTGCAGCTAAATTACAAATAAAAGTAATTTAATCAACGCTATTATTGACAGCCGAGATTGTGGTGATTTAAGATATATTACATTTTCTTCCAAGTTAATTGAGCATTTATTAAATTTGAGTATTCTGCATTGGGCTGCTGATGTCACATGACCTAAATTTATCACAAATCACTAAGCACTTTTGAAGCATGCAAAATGTTTTCTACATAATCATTGTATGGTTCAAAACATGTCATATCAGTACATTTCTCAAATACTGCCACAAAAGGTAATGCAGTGTGGACAGTGAGTCAGAAAGATATTTGCAAGGAAATGCTGAGATATAAGAGGTGCACTGTAGTGATAATCACAGACTTGACTAATATTGTATCGACTGGGATAGTAATAATATAAAGGGCAGACAGGGAGAATAATTTCTCTTGTGTAAATAGCAGAGAGGGAGAAAAGTTTCTCAGATGTGTTCTGGACAATTTTCTCAATCATGACTTTTCTGGCCCAATAAAAGTCAATGCTGGATCTGCTACCAGAGAATGAGGGGAGGGCAGGTGGATCAGTAGGCAACAGTGATCATAGAATGGCCTAATTTGTCCTAGATACATAGGAATGAATGGTTGGCAGCCAAAACTGTTGTAGAATAATTTAAACAGAAGGTAATTTGGACACAGTCAAGGCATATACCCAAAAGAAGGAAGATTAGGGTAGGCAAAGCCAGAGATTTGTTGATTATGACAATGATAGAGTAAGATGAAGCAGAAAAAAATAAATTTTTAAGGCATGCCAGATTGATGTTACATGAGAACCAGGCTAAGAATAGAAAATTTAGAGAAGCGAAGGAAATAAGAGAAGCACAGCATGAGAAGAAACTACCAGCTAACATAAACGGGAATTCCCAAAAGTCTTCTACAAGCGGGTACATGTTGAAAGGGTAGTAATAAGTGAGTTAAACCAATTATGAACCTAAAAGGGAACCTTCAAAAGGAGCAGTGAGCATCGCTACAGTACCAAAGAAGTATTTTTGCATCTGAGAGAAGTAAATGTTGTTGATGTTAAGATGAAGGAGGAGGTAATGGAACTATTGGATAGGCTGACTATTGATAAATTTAGATTGACTGTTTATTCTTAAAATTGTTAAGTTGACAACACTGGATGGAATGCATCTGAGGAAGCTGAGAGAAGTAAAGGCAGAAATTGCAAGTGCAGCCAAGGATGGAGAAATGCAAATGTTGTACCTTGGCTCAAATAGAGGGAAGCATATGTTTAGAAAAGACAGGCCAGTCAGTTTAACCTTGGTTGTGGGAAACGATATTCTAGACAATATTAACCATCTTTGGAAAATAGAAGTGTTAATTGGGGAAAATTAAAGGGAAATCATGCTTAACTAACTTGATATGAGTTTTTTGAAATGATACATCATGTTGTTGATAATAATGTGGCCAATATGTTAAATATGTATGCCAGAAGAGTATTTGATGAAGTAACAGAAATGGGCTTTAACTTTGCTGACAAACCAATTGATTAAAAAGGGAAAAATACTAAGGTGGACAAGTCACAGGAATCAGTTGTGGTGAAGTTATGCCAAATTGTTCTTTACAGAGGAGGAATGGTTGCAGTGGTGCTCCACAGAAACAAGAGGATCAAAAACAACATGAGAAAGTATTTTTATATGCAGTGAATGGTTAGATTCAGGAATGCATTGCCTCTAAGTATGTTCAGACAGCTTTAAAAATGGCTTTCAAAAAAGGGACTTGGCTAAAAATCTGAAGATGAGAGTTATAAAGAAAGGGTGGGGTGGAACCAGACTTTGCAGGGAGCAAGTGTGTATGTGACCATTTGAATGGCTTTCTAATGTGCTATAACCTTTCCATTAATCTATGGTTAAAATGTTAAGTTTAAAAAATTAATGGGTTTGTCTGGGATATGAAATCTCAAATCTATTTTCCAGCCTAAATCCAACACTAACTTGCCTTTTTTGGCTTTAACAGAAACTACAAGGTGGATGGGTGAGCAACCCATCCAAGGAAACAAGTTTGAATTTTAAACATGGTAATGAAGCTGAGAGTTTTATTGGCATTCTGTTTTTGAAATTTAACTACTATCTGCCAGTTTCTCAAGTAATGGGTATTCTGTTAGATTCTTCAAGGCAAGGATTTGGCAACTTCAGGAGGTAGGTGTCTTCACAACTACCTTTTTGGATTTGGGTACCTGCCTGAGGAACATCTGCATTTGAGGTTTTAGACCTCCTGCCTCCACCTCCCTCCATCTCTCTTCCTAGTAACTTACTCTCATTTACTGAAGTTTTTTATAGCAAATGAGAGAATCAAGAATTACGAGCCTTCTGCATATTACCATCACCCCAACCTATTGTCTGACCGAATTGCTCCCTGCAAGTCTCAAATTCAATCCAGTTATTTTCTATAACCTACCATTTCCAATCATTTAGTGCATTTATCAAAATATAAGTCGTCCAAGCTATGCTGTTCTTAAATAAAATAATGTATTTTTTTTAATGTAGAGGGGAAGCCTAATGTTACTGCTCTGTGGGGAAAATGGACTTGTGTCAGCTTTAGAACAAGTGTTCCACCATGGTTTCAAGTCACCTCGACTCTTCAAAAGTATTTTCATTTGGGATTTTATGGGTAAATAGAATATTTGCAGTTTATTCAACGAAAACATATTGTTTTTCTTTTGGTGGTATATTGTGCTTTTGTCCGTATTGGTACAAGAGACTAAATATGAGCACATCTTGCTATAACAGTTGATTATGGAATAATTCTGCAAAGAGTTTTCAGAGGAAAATATTTGTCAATTAGATCCATTTCGGTAGACTGGAATTAGCATCCTTGTGCTTAGTCACCCGTTTGTTGATATAGTTATTTCTGTTTTGTTTTCAGATGTAAATGCATGATTTTATTAAAGGAAAACCACGTGCTTAGCCACTATGCCAGTATCTTAAATTATGAAATCAGAAAGATGAATTAAGACAATCCAAAATAGACATAAGCACTGGCCAAGTTTTTACCATTGGCTTGGAAGTCACAAGTTAGACTGATTCCTGATGTCACATTCCCAAATTCTGAATGAACATGTATACATGTAATATTCATCGCAGGGGATCAAAGCTGGCCTGAAGTTGGCCCTACCACCTCCCAAAGAATAAGATGGGAAGAAAGGCGGTTGCATACCAAGGCCAGCATGCCAGAAGATCCACTTCCCTTATCAGCCTTATTCTGTGGATGAGATTGTTAGGTCCCTGAGGCCTCATCCCTCACCTGCTGCTCTATACCTTCTCTATACATCAATGTTCATCCATTCCCCCTTTATTTATTGTGATCTCTCCATAGCTCCTGCACATCCACCGTAACCATACTGTGTCACTAGGAGCCAAACTTATGAGCCCTATAACAGCAATGAAAATACTTTAATATGCTTGTACTTAAATAAGCTTTTAAAAAATACTATTCAAACTTCATTTTAAAAAACAGCTCCTCTTGGGAGCTCATAAAAATGTATATCAAATACACAGCTATTCAAACTCCATATTTAAAAAAAAAACACTCATCTCAGGTGCTCTTAGAACAACCATGTAAAACCCTCTGCAAAACACTTTGGTCCTGTTAATCCTCATATGGCTGACAAACTGCTGCCTTTCCACAGCTGTGTAAGTAATCCCTGCTGAGCTAAATCCATTATTAGATCTCAGCTCAGCATTCAAAATGGGATTATGTTGTACAATTGTACAAACAAACCATCTGGACCTCAAAAAATTGTGCCTTTGAATTTATCTAAGTAGATAGCCGTCTAGAACATAGAACAATACAGCACAGGAACAGGCCCTTCGGCTAACGATGTTGTGCCGAATATGACACCAAATTGCACTAATCCCTAGTGCCTGCCCTTGGTCCATATCCCTCCATTTCTTGCATATCCATGTGCTTATCCAAAAGTCCATTAAATTCCCCAATCATATCTGCCTCCACCACCACCCCTGGCAGCGCTTTCCAGACTCCTATCACTCTCTGTATAAAATACTTGCCCTTCACATTTCCTTTGAACTTTGCCCCTCTCACTTTAAATGCACGCTCCCTAGTATTAGACATTTCAACTCTAGGAAAAAGACTCTGACCGTCAACTTCATTTTGTTTTACAAAAGCTCACTTGATAGTCTTTCAATCAAATATGTCTGGCATCTGTTCAGCTACTTTAAAGAGTCAACAAATATCAGATCTTTAAATCATTGTAGTTATCAAAGCATAAATTGAGATGTCACATTAGTAACAGGTTTTCAATACCATTGAATGTAGAATAGTACTTTATTTACTGGAGAATGCACGGGCTGAATTTTCCCATTTGAGGCTAGTCTGGTGATGAGTGGCATCCAGTCCACCATGGGCTAGAACAAATTTTCATCTCATTGATTATGCAACCAAGCTGTTGGGCACAATTCTTGGGGAATTGCATGGCAGGCAAATTGGAACTGATCACTGGTGACAGCTTTCAGCCTACACTCCTCTGCAGCATCTAAAGCCAAGCTACACATCACTTCAGACTCTGCAAGCAAGGAACTGCCCTTCAAATTGTGCTGCATGATTCTGATGATGTCGTGGAAGAATGAAAGCTAACACCCCACTTCCAGGACATGGATTTTAAAGTGCTAGTAGGCAGGGTTGTGGAGAGGAGGGCAGTCTTTTTCCCTGCTGACCACCTAAGGAAATCACACAACAGACTTAGCCAGCCTGGACACAAATAGTAGTATGGGCCAGTGCCAAAAGGGACACATGGCAATACCACAAGAAAGTCAGTGATCTCCTGCATCCTGCAAGGGTAAATGCTGCCATCTTCTTTCTGTGACCTCACAGTTCCAAGACCATCACTTGTTTTCACTCTGCCACTCTATATACACCCTTTCTATAGTGTGAGCGCCCAGAACTGTACACAATACTCCAGGTGAGGTCTAATACATATCTTTTGTAAATTCAGCATAATCGTTTTTGGTCTTTTACTCTATGCTTCTATTAATAAAGTCTAGCATACTAAACATTGAACATAGAACAGTACGGCACAGGAACAGGCCCTTCAGCCCACCATATCTGTGCTGACCATGATGTCATTCTGAACTAATCCCATCTGCCTGCACATTAACTGTATTCTCGCCTGTTAACGGACCTGTCTAAATCTTCTTTAAGCTTTCCCCTTCTCACTTTAAACCTACGCCCCCTAATATTTGATATTTCTGCTCTGGAAAAATGATTCTGACTATCCATCCTATCTGTGCCTCTCATAATTCATATACTTCTATCTGCCACACCAGAGTAGGCGAGGGTATGGAATTCCACCCTATGTGAATACTTGCACAATACTGGTCAATTTAATGGTCACTTACCTTTTAAGGATGGAACTTTGTGATCAATTACTGCGTTAAAATGTAATTAATTAATCACAGCATCTGATTTAGACATTTGAAGTTGGCATGACCCTTTAATCCCACCTGGCAGTGGTTGCTAACTTCACCTTTGACTTCCCAGGCTGATTGACTTTATCTGTATCTCATTTACTTACCAATTAGGCAGCAACTGTCCACCCCACACTGGTCTGATGCCAAAATGCCCCTTAACTTACTACCAAAGAGTTGGTCACCCTGCTTTGATTCCCACGTTGATCAAAATGGAGAAGGTTGGAATCAATTGAGAAATTTAAATTTAAGATCCCCATCGCTCCAGTTTTAGGCCACCTGTGTTTGCCTCTTTGGTGAAATTGATAGCAAAAATCGAAAATTGAGCCCTTTGTTTGCAAGTAATTTGCCATGCATTTGCATAACAACGATATGTAACCAAAGTTGTACAATTCTTATTTTATCTTCAGAGAAAGCTTATGTGTACTTTGAGAGTATAGAACATACTGAACTTGCCCAGGAAGAAAATTGGCAAACTAGAGCCAAGAACTTTTGCAAGTTTGTTGCTGCTATAAATGGTTCCCCTCGGAACATTGGAAAGGATGGGAAGTTTCAACTTCTGGTGTGCCTGGGAGCAAGGTAACAAAATTATTTATACTTCGTGTATAGTGAAAATAAAGCAGTGTTAAAGCTTATGCAATCTTAACTGTGTATCCTTGTTTTATTTGTTTTAAAGCTAGCTAAGTTATACTTTTATTTTGTGTATGGTGGAGCTGACAATAATAATTTCGATATTCGCACATTGCTCAATTGGACAAAGTTGAGATTTATCCAAGACTTCACCATCTGACTGCACAGAAGCTATTGAGGAGTTGAATGAAGTGAATGACATAGAGAACTAAGGTTATAGGTGTGCATAAGATGGACAAAGGGAACTTGACTCCACATTTGCAGATAATATCCATGCGGGAAAACATGTAGATAAGCAACGTGAGAGAAACCAGAGTAACGCTTGGAGACTCTAGCAATATTGTGAGATAGGAAAGGAAGTCACTGTTAGAGGTACTCTGACTATAATCATATAAGGAATAGCTCAATAAACAAAACAGAGTTGGACAACAAATAATGGATAGACAATAATGTGATTAGGTTATAGCACAAAAATGTAAATTGGCCAGAATTGATACCCATTAGCAAATTGATGTATGAAATTTTACTTGCAGAGAAATTCCTGTGGGTTAAATTCGAGTACAATTGTTAAATGTGTTTGTACTACAATCCTGTGTTCACTATTGTTATGAAGTGTTTCATTTTAAGAATTATTTAGTACAGTTAACTTTATTTGCATATGCCATTCCAAATTAGAAAAGTTAAAGGCTTTGAGATTTTTCTTGCAGTTTCTAGTTAGCTGTTCTTATAAAATGGAAAGTGACATGAAGAAATTTCAAATAAATAGTTTTTGGGAGAGGAAAATGCTATCAGGGTGCCAGCAATTTCTGACAGTCGCTACTTTGTTCAGACAATGGAGCATCTTGAGTGGTTATTCTTTATGAGGCAAGGTTGATCTCCAAGAACTGTTGTACCAGTTGTCAACGAACCATTTAAAAGCCCTTTTTAAACATTTAAAGAATTATGCAAAACCTATTAACTTAACTAATCTCTTATTTCTCTCTGAGACTAGTCAGATCCGATGCATCATCCTCTGAGACTTCCGCCATCTGCAATCCGACCCCAACACCAAAGACATTTTTCCCTCCCCACCCTTATCTGCTTTCTGGAGGGACCACTCTCTCCGTGACTCCCTTGTCCGCTCCACACTCCCCTCCAGCTCCACCACACCCGGCACTTTTCCCTGCAACCGCAGGAAGTGCTACACCTGTCCCCACACCACCTCCCTCACCCCCATCCCAGGCCCCAAGAAGACTTTCCACATCAAGCAGATGTTCACCTGCACATCTGCTAATGTGGTATACTGCATCCGCTGTACCCGTTGTGGCCTCCTCTACATCGGGGAAACCATGTGGAGGCTTGGGACCGCTTTGCAGAACACCAACGCTCGGTTCGCAATAAACAACTGCACCTCCCAGTCGCGAACCATTTCAACTCCCCCTCCCATTCCTCAGACGACATGTCCATCCTGGGCCTCCTGCAGTGCCACAACGATGCCACCTGAAGGTTGCAGGAACAGCACCTCATATTTTGCTTGGGAACCCTGCAGCCCAATGGTATCAATGTGGATTTCACAAGCTTCAAAATCTCCCCTCCTCCTACTGCATCCCAAAACCAGTTCAGCTCGTTCCCGCCTCCCTAACCTGTTCTTCCTCCCACCTATCCCCTCCTCCCACCTCAAGCCACACCCCCATTTCCTACCTACTAACCTCATCCCGCCCCCTTGACCTGTGCGTCCTCCCTGGACTGACCTATCTCCTCCCTACCTCCCCACCTACACTCACCTTTACTGGCTCCGTCCCCGCCTCTTTGACCTGTCTGTCTCCTCTCCACCTATCTTCTCTTCTATCCATCTTCTATCCGCCTCCCCCTCTCTCCCTATTTATTTCAGAACCCCTTCCCCTCCCCCATTTCTGATGAAGGGTCTAGGCCTGAAACGTCAGCCTTTCTGCTCCTATGATGCTGCTTGGCCTGCTGTGTTCATCCAGCTCTACACCTTGTTATTTCAGATTTTCCAGCATCTGCAGTTCCTACTATCTCTAGTCAGATGCATACATATTTTTCTTATAAAACAAAACCCTTCTCATTCATGTTTGTACCAGTCTGATGCCTTGCTTAAAATACCATGCTTTTAATTTTTCCAGTTGTATCTTGTTTCCCACAATTGATTAAGTGGATTGATCCATCATTGTCTTTTTTAACTTGTCAGGGACCATCTTTTGCATCATTGGATTGCGTTGCTTGCTGACTGCCCTCTCATCGCTCAGATGTATGAAGATACAGCTCTGATTAAAGACCACACATTAGTTAACTCCCTAATCAGAGTGCTGCAAACTTTGCAGGAATTTAATATCACACTCGAGACATCAATGGTCAAAGGAATTGATATTTAAAGAGGATCACTGACATCCAATGGAAGAGTTTGCACAAATATATTACAAATTTTGAAATTAAAAATGAATGCAATATTGGAATTCAGCAACTTGTTTTTAAGTTGCAGGAACTATTTGCCATATAGTAAGTGCAGTGAGCCATTTTGAACCTGGTTATCAGGTTATCCTAAAGTTTGAAAGAAAGATTTTTAACTTTCAGTCAATCATTGTAGATTTGTTTGGTTGTACAGTAACGTGTATCCTATTCAAGATTGATGCTTGTTTCAAATTTGTTTTTCTAAAGAAAATAAGAAGTGTTACACTTGAATTATTTTTCTGCAAATGGCCAATACTTGCACTGTTAACTTGCAGTTTAAAAGTGTCTGATTTTTTTTAAAAGTGTACATATAACCAGGGCACAGCTTTTACTTTGTAGCTGCTTAAAAAAAGTGTACATATATACATATGTTTGTAAAGTACGTGTGTGCGTGTGTGTGTAATATGTATAATATACAAACATGCACATAATATTCTTGTAAAATTTTTGGAAAATAAGTGGTATTTTTTCAAATGTTGAAGGGTTAAAGATCAGAGTCTGATATGGATCTGAGAAAGTATTCATTTTGTATTTCATTTTGAAAAAAATTCATTCCTCCTTGCCCCTTCTTGGTTCTTTTTCATTTGCCTTTTACAACAAAGGTGAGATTTGTTAGTCCATAAATAAACATGCTCCCTTGAGATTCAAGTTCCTATGAAGTCTCTGCGGAAAATATTGCATTTCAACATAATGTATTCGGTGTGGCTAATCAGAAGGGTGTGTAGTAGGTTTATGCCAGTATCATGAGATAGGTTTATAACAAACTTTCATTCTTTCCAACTTTCTTTCTGTTGAAATTCATAGAAAAATATTTTTTGGACCTTATTAGAAACTCATTTCTTAGCCATATGTCTGCTTTCACTTTTTTGAAGTCAAAAATTCTGGCAATTATTTTCCAAATTAATGAAAAATAAAAGCCTTAATGGTGAAAAATCAGCTGCCAATTTATGATGAGCCTGTTCCATGATAATTGATTAGACCAATTTCAGCCTCACAGCATATTACAAAAGGTGTCCATTTTGTGTGTGTATGTAGGACTTTGGGGTTCCATGCATTTTTGTGATTGGCTGGCATTTCAATGAGTTGTAGCAGCCTTGGGTTGGGAAATAGAGGAGAAAATTCTACCCAGAGTTTCAATCACTTTTTTTTCCCTTTTTTTTTGCACTTGTTTGAACCTCTCAGGTCATGAAACTTTTTTCTGGCGGTTTTGGGGATCCCTTTATTCACACATTTAGCTTTACCTTTTAATTACAACAAATATAAAAATATACCACTAAACTTATTGGTGTTCTGTTTATGGTTTATTTGACTGACAAAAAATAAGGCAACAATTAATGTTTATGCATGAAGTTTCAGATTTCTTCTGTTGCAGGAATAAAGCTATGATTTAGGTAAAGTTGTAGAACTTATCTTCGTTTATCTAGTTACAAACAATATTTTATGTACTCTGGGCTGTATTCACATTCTCCCCAGCATTCCTCTTGCAACATTTTTATGACAACACTTTTTAGTTTGCAGAGAGTCTGAACCTCTATTGTATTGCAGATTATTTCTCTAGCATAATTTGAAGTATTTATAAATGAACCTCTAGTTTTATACATGAGATTGGAAAAAGATCTATAAGCAATTTATGAGAATTTAGTGTTTCCTTCTGCTTCCTATGGTATTAATCAACTGTATCATTACTGGTGAGGAACAGAAAGCTTCTGCCTTTTGGATGCTCTCGCAGATGGATAATGGTTAACTGTGAAACATCTGTGTCCAGTTACCATTACTGGCTCTGAGTTCGTGTCGAGCAGGTGCTATTAGCATACTGGAAGTTGAGTTTGAGTTTGATTTATTGTTGTCACATGTAGAGAGATTCAGTGAAAAGTGTTGTTTTGTGTGCTATACAGGCAGATTGTACCATTGCTTCACAGAAAAATTTCTCTCTCTCTCTCCTTTTTAGTAATTAGTGATTTCTGCCATTATCTTCCTTGTGGATATGGATATCGAGAGTGGATTTTCATACAATAGTTACATTCCATATCTGATTACTTTGTTGAATAACACTGAAAGTGATAAACCATTGTGATTTAGTTGCGTGAAGAATCTACTTATGCAATGAGAAATCTAACCTATGAGCAATTTCAGTAAATCGTGAAACTTAAAGAGCATTCATTAAATTTCTTGAACATCGAGCTATTATGATGTTACAGTGATAATCCTGTTACAATATGAAGTTTTCTATAATTTTTAAAAACATTATATATATCAGTCTAAAAAAATTAATTCATTTGAATTAACAAAAAGTCAAATACTTGAAGCTGTATAAAAGTTATTATTAGCATATATTGTTGGAAAAAGACACATTTTGTCAAAGATTTTTGTCTTGAATACACCAGGACAATCCACATGAAATACCAAAGTAAAGGGAAAATAATATTTATACTATTTTAAAGGAGAGTGCTGATTCACTTGTGGACTCTGATTGATAGAGATGTTGCCAGGGAAAATGAATTGGTTAATTATACATGACAGTTATCTTCCAAGCTTTATTTAAATTCAATTGTAAACCAAGCAGGTAGATTCTGATTGGTCAAGGCATTAATCTGAGAAATGAACCAGGGAAAGACTGTACCAATACAGAAGTTGCTGGAAAAGCTCAGCAGGTCAGGCAGCATATGTGAAGAAAAAAAATCATCAGTTAATGTTTCAGGTCTGGTGACCCTTCCTCAGAACAGGGAAAGACTGTCATTCATTTATTTAGATCCACAAACAAATAGCATGTGTACGTGTTCTTTCTGTCTACAAAAAAGGCACTGTATGTCACTTCATCAATGATTAATATCATTGTGGTATATTAATTTTAATGCCAGCGTGATGCTAGGCTAAATATCCCAAAGACTGATGGATTGCATCAAACAATATATCTCTCTGGCTGTTAACAAGTAAGATACTGACTGTACCCAACCTGCCCATGCTTGCAAAACTCATAATATCATGTGCCTCAGATGTAATTTTACAAATTTGCTAACTAAACCTGCATTTGTAAAGAATTAAATCGACAACCAATTTAGGACTGTCAGGCAGGCTCACAGTATCGCACACGTATACTGGAAGCTACATATATTAATACATCAAGCTGTATTCTTTTCAAGCATAAATAATGCGAACTCACTACACCTGTTTCATAGTATGAACAAAATTGGTAACAGCCATTCTCTGGGTCATTTCTCAGGCCACATCATGACCAATCAAAGTCAAACTGCCTTGTTTAAAATTTAAACATATGTTGGTAGTCCATTGTAAATCATTCACTGGTGCATGCCCAATGTCAATGCCTCTAACCAATCAAATCCATTTGCTATCCAATCGGCACTCTCCTCTCATAACATATAAATGTTGCTTTCCCTTTTTAGTATTTCTTGCAAATTCTCCTGATCAAGGGGAAATGAAGTTGTTTTGACTTTGTTTAGCATATACATTAATTGTATTTATCTGTTATTACAGTCAGTGGTTCCTGCGCCATTTCTGGAATACAACTAATGCTAATACTATGAATAAGATGGGAAGCTCATAGACTCTCACTCCCTTGGTTTCATGCCTTATGGATTTTACATTCTGTGTGATGTCACACAAGGTGTAAACTCACAGTACACTCTCAGTCGCTTTATTTTTACCTTATTCACACTTTAATTTGCCTCCATTTAATTTAGATTGCCAAGGCTTTCAAACCAACTGTTAGGAATTTAAGTATGTATTCTGAAGAATTCTATCCTGGTAAGCCATCAATGGCCAAGATTTTGCTTTGGCAAGGTATCAAATTATATTTGCCATTCATTAGATGCAATCCTTGTACTTTTAGATTTTATACAGTTTCCGAATAACAAGTTGCTGAAAATGCAGTAAGAGTGCAATGAGGAAACTGTGTATCTAGGACCTGAGTTAAAAGGGTTTCCAACTATATTTTCCCTTATTTAATCAAAGGAAGTGATTCTGAAATAATGTATAAGCTCAGAAAACAAAACAAATTTGTGAAAGAAATGATGTCATAATATACAGAAAAGTCAATAGTTACTATAAGATCCAACTAAGAGAAGAAATAGAGGAAAGTTTTTAAAAACTACAAAGATTTGCGTTTTTAAAAAAATCTTCCAACAACAGTTAATACCAGAAGGAGTGCACACTGTAAATATTTACTTTTCAGTGTCAAAAAACTTGACAGCTATAAACATTTACCAGATCACTAAAAGAACAAAGACCAAAGCAAATTACAGCACAGGAACAGGCCCTTCGTCCCTCCAAGCCCACGACATGCTGCCTGTCAAACTAAAATCCCTCCCCTTCTGGGGACCATATCCCTCTATTCCCATCCTATTCATGCATTTGTCAAGATGCCCTTTAAAAGTCACTATCGTATCTGCTTCCACTCCCACCCCTGGCAGCGAGTTCCAGGCACCCACCACCCTCTATGTGGAAAAACTTGCCTCATACATCACCTTTAAACCTTGCCCCTGCACCTGAAACCAATGCCCCCTAGTAACTGACTTCCATCCTGGGAAAACGCTTCTGACTGTCCACTCTGTCCATGCCCTTCATAATCGTGTAGTCCTCTATCAGGTCGCCCCTCAACTTCCGTCGTTCCAGTAAGAACAACCTAAGTTTTTCCAACCTCTCCTCATTGCTAATGCCCTCCATACCAGACAATATCCTGGTAAATCTTTTCTGTACCCTTTCCAAAGCCACCACATCCTTCTGGTAGTGTGGCGACCAGATTTGAACACAATATTTCAAATGCGGCCTAACTAAGGTTCTATAAAGCTGCAACATTACCTGCCAATTTTTAAACTTAATATCCCGGCCGATGAATGACATGATTTAACACTCCGTGGCCAGTTTAGTTTCAACCTGGTAAATTTAGTAATTCTCATGTGATTTAATGGGGAGTCCAACACTTATATATCATTTTCACGAAGCTAACAGCAGAGTGGGGCAGTTTGGAGAGCAATGCAGATATGGGTTCAGTCGCTCAGCTGTCCCTCTATTGAAATTGTTTTGTCGTTCACCCCCAAAATGACACAATGCCATTAACTATACTGTTATTTTGATTCTGGACAAATGTACTAGCCAGTCAGTATGAACTGGGTGCTGCTTGATTGGAAACTGAACTGACATGACTGGTTCAGCAGCATCATTGAGCACATTGGCTTTTCTTCTGTACCATTTTGATAATTTTATACCATGTATAACAGTTGTCAGAACAATACAATGCAACTTCTCAAACATTTAACTTGTTTTTACTTGTGGCAGATCAAATACGCAAATACAATATCTTCACTAATAAATTCAATTTGAAATTCAGGAATACTTCTTTGCCTAGAATCTGTGGAGAATGTGGATCTCACTACTGCAAGTAGTCGAGGCACATAGTATTAAAGATACAAGCAAGAAACAAATAAAAGGTTTAGATGAAGAGTAGGATGAGAATCATGTGGAGGCTCAGTTGGACCAGATAATTGGTTTCTGTGCTACATGACCTCTGTAATTTTAAATCAAGGTCTATTATATGTGAGGCTTGTATGTAGTAATACGTTTTCAGAACTTTTACTTAACAAAAATAATGCACATTCAGTTACAGAATTTAACAGACTTCCTCTCAACTATATTGAAACCAATTTGGATGTGTGCAGTACAAGAATTCGCATTCATTGGATAACGAAATAATCTGTACTTCAATAAGTAAACTGATCTTCTGCTTTAAAATGGTCTTTTTCTTCATAGATATTTCACACGCAACATTACGAACTTTCACCAGTTTGTACTGAATAATGTTTGCTAACATATTGGGATATGTTTTTGCCTTAACTATCTAAAATAGCACATAAATTTAAATTATAAATAAAATGATGCATAGTATATTTCAATACAAATGATGAGCACAACATTCAAATCAGATATTTACATTTGATTACCTTTTTCATTGTTTATATTGTGAATTTTGTGCACATTTTCACCTTCTGTCATAAGTTAACATTTTTGACATGAATGATTTTGGTCTCAAAACTTCACTGTTTTGATTGTTTCAGCTTGAGCCAGAAGAAATGTCATGGAACAGATAAACAGAAAGCAAGAAAGAGAAGCAGCTGGAAAATGACCAATTAGTAACTGCTAAACTCTT